ATACATTCTCTCATCTCTAGCAGTCAAAACAACAGTCACCCCTTTGGAAGCTAACTGCTTGCATATTCCCAATCCAATCCCCTTGTTTGCTCCGGTAACCACTGCATACCTGAGAGATGACAGAAGGAAAGATAAAAGGCCAAAGAAAACATGGAGAGTGTAAAAACAATAAATTCCAGGAGAAACAAGTACCTGTTTTTTGCAAGAAAGGTGGATGCTTCTTCCATCTCTGCTGAGGGAAGATGGACCTGAATCCGAAGCTCTGAAGGTAGGGAAATGATATGTAGTGAAGGAACCTCAGGAATAGAATAATATAAGTCAGCAACAAAGAGGGCATCAATTAAGTACGTGGTTGGGAGGTCCACATGATATGTACGTCGTTGCTCAGGAAGTCATAACCAGTACAATAAAACAGTAAACTATTGATCAACTAGCTGTTGGAGAAATTTTTAAAATAGAGGAAAGAAGACAATGGTTAGAAAATGACACAATGTATAAATATAGATGTCTTTTTGTATTAAAATTCTTTAAATAGAAAAAATATATTTATAGAAAGGTTAGAAAATGATATAATGAATGAAAAGATGTCTTTTTATATTAAGATTCTTCAAATAAAAGAAACATGTTTATAAAGAGGTATTTTTATTAGAAGATAACTTATAAAAAGCTTTGTTTTTATCCTCTTAAAAAGAAAGACTGCTATCTATAGAAAAACAGGCTCCTAATGGAGAGTAAACAGATTTCAATATAGATGATACATAAAACACCCTATTGTTATCAAAATAAAATTAATAGTCCTCTTTTGTCAAATAATTACTACAGAAATTCTTATATAAAAGTGATAGTTTTGCTACTTGAAGAAGTGAGATTCAGTCATTGGTTTCGTCAATGCAAGGCGTAATCAACAGGGCTTTACTGTATTCTACAGACCTTTTTAGTTAACCCTTTTGCATACCAAAATGGTGGGAGCAAAATTAGTCTAAAGGAAAGTGACATTTGTATCACGGTTTGATGCCAATGATCTTTTTTTTAACCTCCAGGTTCCAACACTTGCGAGATTAGTTGGCCTTTTGAACAATATTTGATGTAATTAATTACATGTATCCGACAGCTGCTTAACATAGATTTTAAAGAATAGATAAGTGAAGAAGCCTGGGTATAAACTAGTCTGGTTCTCAAACACTACACCTAAGCATAGCTTTATAAGTTGGCTAGCTATTATTGACAGAAACTACAAAGGCTTGCCAGAAAAAAATAGACTCCCAGTATTGTTGACACTATCTATCATTTGTGGATGGACAGGTATAGAAGGA